GGGTCATGGAACGTTCTTGTAAAAGGTAACTGAGTGTCGCTCCTGGATGCTGAAAAGAGGTATCAGCAGCTCCAAAAAACCTGGATAGCTGGCACTAACCGCAGGTGATAGGAAGGCAGGATTGCTGCCTCCATAAATTTGGAAATAGGTGTCACTTGTGGAAACAGGTTACTGCCTTCGTGCCTTTATCACAGAGGATAGTGTGTCTGCTTGCCTTCAGGATGAACACTGGCCATAAATTTCTTTGATATGGGTTGAAGTATTTATGTTCCAGGGGCAACAATCTTGAGTACAGGTCGGAGTTTCAAGTCAGACCGATATTACATTCGAAGACGGGGTGTCGGAGAGGTGGCTGCCCTAGCCACTTGCTTGTTTGGATAGTTTAAACAATATTATGTAAGTAGAAATGAGTGCAATACGTCGGTGCGGGTATTGGGCTAGATGATACCCAAACTCATGAGATAGGCTTGGAGAAGTGTCATACGGTTACTTGAAAGGGCGAGTGGCTTTGAAGTTATCCATGTCTTATATGGGAAGACTGTTCTTAACCATTACCGGATGCAGAAGACTAAAAAAGATTTGTTTACAAACACAAGCATCTCCCATGGACAAAATTTCTATTGCAAACGGTTATGAGGTTGTTGGAACTCATGAAGATGACGACGGAACTTTTGTTTGCGTCGAGCTACAGGGCATAATTTTTGGGGGCAGAAGTTGAGTAAATTTGTTTTAGTGCCCGAAAGGAGCAAATTTGTGCAAAGTACCCATCCTCCCACTGGATCTCCGTGACGGCTTCTTCCATGGGCACACCTTTGAAGAGTCGTGCAGTTCTTGACTTCCCGGAATCAAGTACATACCGGTTTATATTTTGGCTGCATGTACATAGCCCTATTTTGATTTGAACTCGCTGGGTCCAACTCCTGTGCACAAGTGGATTGTTAGGTAGCAACAAATAGGATCGCTTTTTTCAAAAGAACTAAGGTGAAAAGGAGCTTAAATTGAATACACATTTTTAGTTTCAGCTTCATCGTCCAGAGAAAGTGGCCTGCTGAGAAAGAAACAAAAGACCGACCATAACGTTGTGCCACTGCACTCAATGAATGAAAACCCTTCGGTGATGGTGACTGCATAATTATTAAGTGCATGTATGGCGGAACGACAACGTATGTGACTATGAAAAAAATAAAAACCGTCATTGGTCGTTGGATTAGGCCGTTGTATATATTTAAGGCCACATAATCATTATTCCGCGTGGGTTCCAGTCCAGTGTAAGTAACCCAGATGAACGAAAGCGCGTGGAGTTACTGGTATGAAAAGCCATTTTTGTCACCAGAACAGGCTAACATGCATAGCTGTGGCTCCATAATCAGCGTTACAAATTGAAACGGGCATTCACGATAAGTCGCTGAGGTGAGCAAAAACGCATATGTTGTCATCGTATCAATCTATCATGAATAGGTGTGTCCTTTTAAATTGTGGAACGCATAGGAATGCACCAAGCGCCTATGATAAGCCGCCAAGGTTAAGGAGAATTGTATAGTTGTAAGCACAAAGGGGCGCTATTCTTTTTTTGGATTGACCTATCACAAATATTGTGCTAAAGTTCGCAGAAAAAGCTCATCTCATTTTTTACGTTTGACGGGTATGACGCACACGAACGTCATTCAATTAAAAAACTGGATGATATTTGCGTTGAACATTCCTTCGTTTGAAGAACGCCGCTGAACGGTGAAATACGGTGTGAATTACTTTCGTGCACTATCTCGCCGCTACCCAGAAGCACACTCAGATTATTTTAAACGAAGTTGCGGCTTTTACAAGGAGTCAGCCTTATCCGTTTTAACCTTTCAATGATACGTGCTCATGTCATTTTGTTTAACTGAGCAAACTTTTAAGGTCAGGGAACATCACCCATTGGCATTCGGTTAGCGACCTACGGGAGGTAAGGGCGACGGCTAGACGCACACCCAAAATTTCTCTGAAACCGTGGTTCGAAGGAGGGAATCTTTAACATAAAGTTTTAACATTCGATGGTAATTTTTTGGGCTTATGAGATCTTCCCAAACTGCGGGAATCTTTACATAAAGTTTTAACATTCGATGGTAATTTTTTGGGCTTATGAGATCTTCCCAAACTGCCGCAGTTTTGTTGAAAGTTGTTTAAACCTACTCAATCACCACGATATTCAAGACCCGCGATATTCGTGAATGCGGAGGATGACTTTGTGGAGAATTTAGCTTGTCAAAGGTTTTTCTCATTCAGTGCATTTCAAGTCGCTTTGAAAGAGTACCGGGCGAATCATTACGTTGCTTTCGTCCGTATAAACTCCAAAAAGAGCAGCGATTTGCTACTTTTGTATGAAAAAGCCTTTCACGGATTCACGGATTGATACACAGGATCGAGACTTTTGCCCAAGTTTCCCGGGTCGGTTTTGTTCTTGTCGGTCAGTGGCTGTCATTCACCTGAAATGCACAAGTGTAAAAAGGGTGTAGCACTGCTCTTTATGTTCTCAGGGCGGGGCAGTATGCTTGCCAGTGCGAGGTTTCGCATAAATAAATGTCAAATAGTGCTTTACACTGTGTTCTAGGAGGAGCGTGGACAACCGTCGGAGGAAGGTCATTCCACGCAGCTACTACCCGAAATCAGAAAACGTTTGTCTAATGAATGTGTGTGCTCTGAGCTTGAAAATCTTCTTACTATGTCCCCGCCGTGTATTTGCTGGATCAGCGGTGAAAAGTCTGTCTGCCAAGCTTTGTTCAAACAGGGCATACTTGAGAATTAAGTCTCCTCGGAGGCGACGGTACAACAGGGGAAAGAGAGCAAGCATCGCGAGACGCGCTTCTTAGCCCACGGATTTGCGGCCGGCAGCATTTTCCGTAGCGGCTAGCTGGAAACGCTCAGTGAGGGTGACGTCTTTCGTGCGTACTGAGTAGACAACTTGGTTGGCATACTCCAGGAACGGTCTGACGTAGGCCCCATAGGGTATCTGGAAGTCCATGCGAGTAATACGGGAGAAGGTGCTTCGGATCATCCGTAAGATGGCGAATACCTTTTGGGCCAGTTTCTCATGATGCAGTAAGAAGGACAAGTTTCAGGAGACCCAGATGCCCAAATCCTTTTTGACATCTATCCTCATGATGTCTTCTGGTCCTTTTTCACCATGCATAACAAAGGCATTCGCTGAGTCTCCTCCAAATAAAATGGACGCACTTTTCCTCATTCAGAGGAAGGTGCCAGTCCAACGACCACTGCTTTGCAGCGTCTACATCCATTTGGAGGTTATTGGCATTGGAACTCCAGGATTTTAAGTCGTCCGTAGAAAGTAGACATGGACTTGCAAGAACATTTGGGAGGTCGTTGACGTAGATCAGAAACAGGAGTGGTCCCAGGACGGAGCCTTTAGGGACTCCAATGGAGACCGGAGCTGGAGAGGAGTAGGTCGAGCCTATTCTCAATCGGAATGATCTGTCTGATAGGAACGCCTAGATCCAGATAAGGATCAACATCAAAGGAAGCTCTCTTAGCTGACCGGTAGGTAGACTGACCGGCAACTAATGGGAATAGTTTAACTGATACATATGCACTCACTTGGTGGACGCGCCTGAAGATTTTCTCCACACAGCAGGCAGGACTCATTGCCGCAGCAATAAAGGTGATATGGAAGTCGATCATGTTGACACCACCAATCAGCAGGGTCAGTTGGCTGGCCATAGAGACCACAGGGAACAGCGTCGTTTGACGTCGAACGCCACCGTGGTTGTTATCCAGCATCAGAGGCTGATTGTCCTGTGCACTGATTGAATCTTGACGCAACATCAGCTGGCTTTGGACAATCAGACACTTCATGCACCCAGCAGCCCCACGCGGTTCCAGCAACTTCAGTTTGCCAACCAACCTATTAGGCTGCTTGTGCAAATGCTCTATTGGTGATAGCTCTAGCATTGGAACCAAGATAAAGGTACTCTTCCCTCCGGTAGGTTGTATTCGGCAAGCCACCGTTGATGGATCGGAAATTGACCTGGACACTGCATGTTCGATCAATCAACTTATCGCATGGGAACGAATGGCCTCTGAATACTGAAAATAGGTGTACACAAGGTAGCCACATTGATTGGTGAAATATGCACGTGCAGGTTCCGGCTGAGGTGTTGACTGTCTGAGAACATTTGGGGGTTTGTACCACAAAATGACTGTTACTAACAACGGGCTTCTCACCTTGAAGCAATCTGTCTGCTTGTATATCACACTTACACCAAAGCAATGGAACGTACGTGCTTCCGGATGACTTGCCGTGCGTGAAAATAGCACAGCATTATATCGCAGCCAAATACAGCTTTGGGAGCTGGCATCTGCGAAGTCATTTTGTCCATGACGAACGTTTTGACTGCATATTTTCCACCCATCATATCCTTGAACAAGCTGAACAGCTTGCGCAATGGCGCAAAATGCTATCTTTCGACAGAGGCATACATTACGGGTCGACCGATACCCACGCCGTCCGTCACAAGAAATGTATAAAGCTTGTAACTTAACAGTTAACGTCAGGGGCTCTAAATTTATTTACCAAAGACGGTTAGTACCGTGTGTAGCATCAACGTTTAAAACGTCCGGGAAACGTCTAATGAGTGCTATCTGCTGCGTTCGAGAAAAGCACAGGTGACTATATCTGCCACCCTCCGATTCCACCAGCAGCACGCGACCGCACCCTCAAAACTCGGCTATGATGGACGACATGTCATCTAAGAAACCGACTTAAAGGTAACCAACGACCTACTTAACAATGGGGGTCGACATTTGACGCGATAGTTACTCACATCCTTGACAGTGAGTACCTTTTCACAGTGGTCGGCGACGTACTGCCGAAACCCCGATGACGAAGCACCATATTTTAAGAGGGTACAACACTAATTCATCATTTGTCAGTCGCCGGTTGATGGGAAGCCTGTCAAAAATAAACTTGCTGCCTGGATGGCTGTGCTCCAGGTAGTAGGAAGTAACCCTCAAGCAGTCATGGCACCGGCGAACGTGAAACCTTGCCGGACAATCAGTACGACGTGTGCTACAACGTACACACAATCAACCATGAACTTATCAGGTGCGACGAATTCCACGGTTTCGGCTTCGTCTGCAGGGATGTCTGCTGCAACGGAGCCTTGAGGAACTCCATTGGAGTAGCTGTAGAGTGGATCTTAAGAAAATGAAAAATGAAGCGACCACCAATTAAGCTTGTATCAGTGATGCCAATGAATAAAATGCAAACCGCCAATGGTGTTTTAGTAAATTCATGGCGAGCACATTATCAACGCGTGGAGCTATGAGTATGGAGCGCCGTCGTTGTCCATTGTATTACGTTTTGGGCATAGGTGAGGCCCCATAATCTGCTTCGCGAATAGCAGTTACGCTAAGTAGTCGAGGTGAGCGACAGCTCATTGTTTCGGGTAATGGAGGTAGTCGTCGAGGGGGTACAATCAAGAGTAGGAGTTGGGAGTGCGCTATCAAAATAGGTAGTGATTGCAGTTTGACATGTGATGACCACCGTTGATCGTTGGGTTAGTCTATTATGTGTTGCCGGGGCATTATGGTTAGCTACGAGCATGTGTGCGGGCCTGACACTTACTATAGGTAGTCACGTAGGTTACGTCGACTACAGTTGAGATGTTTACTGGAGGTAGCAAACATAAACGGCATCGAGTAAGTATGAGTATGACGATAAATAGCTAAGTTAGGTGACTTTGAGTACAGTTGTGAGTATAACAGGCTGTTAGATTATGCTATCACCCATGGTTGAGTCCTTGTTTTTACCGGTCGGCATATATATTGGATTGATGTTTACTGTAGGTAGCGAAGACAAGCGGCGTCGCGTATAGTATGAAAGACCGTCAGCTCTATACTCAGCGTTGCACATGGACACAGGTGTTCCAATTACGATAAGCAGCCAAGGTAGTCGATATAAACTGCAGTTACGAGTATGACGGGCAGCCGTTGGTCGTTAAGATGTCACGCATAATTGGAACCTGGTTTCTATCGGCCGCATAGATACTGGCTTAGTGTTTACTGTAGGTAGCAGGCAGGTACAGCAGTGAAGATCGGTGCTTAACACTGATTTCATGCTCTCCATGATGATATAAGTAGCAGACAATCGAGAGTGCACACGTTTATGGGTATGACGGGCCATCGTTGGCAGTTAAATCAGGACACTTAGCATAGCTGAGGCCTACTAAACAGCGTCGCATATAGGCTCTAGCCAAGCAGTTTCAGTAAGTAGTCAATGTAGGCAATATCGCGTACAGTTTTGAGTATTAGGTCCATCGTTCACCGTTAGATTAAGTAGGCATGCACAAGGGCGCTGACTCAACAGGTACGATCAACAGCCAAGTTAGATGACTTCGAGTACAGTTGTGAGTGTAACAGGCGGCCAGGTGTGGCTATCACGCATAGCTGAGGACTTATTTTTACCGGTCGGCGTATAAATTGCACTGATGTTTACTGTAGCTAGCGAAGACAAGCGGGATCGCACATAGCTAACGGTATACAGGACCGTCATTGACCATCGGATTATGTTACTGTGCATTGGTGCAGTCTCATTATCAACGTTGCACATAAACGCAGGCCTAGCAGTTACAGCAGGTAGTCGAGATGAATGAAAACTAGTAGAGATACGAGTACAACGGGCCGTCGTTGCTCATTGGATTGGGCTGCCGCGCATAGACCCCTTTATGGTGGTCACCACCTATAGAACTTCATAGTTATAATAGGAAAGACGCCCACAGCTACCTCGTAACACTGTATTATCTACAAGCTAGTTATGCATATCTGGAAAAGGGGATCATCCACAGATGGCCCTCGCACTGCCACTGCAACTTTGTGCTGTAATGTAACATTATTTTACTTAATGGAATATGAGATCCATGAGGAAAATGTGTTGTGAGCAGTTTCGCCGAACAAAAATATCCCAATTTTTTTTTAAATCTGAGGTGTCTAAGGTAAACAACCGCCTACGACTGATCCTATAGGGTGGCATTTGCAATAAATACCCTTAAGATGTTATTTTATTCTTCAGGAACACCGAGGAACGCCAAAATATGCTAAAGTGCGATTTCGTATTTTATGTCGCGTAAACCGGCAAAAAATGCAAACCGGCGATGGCCAATGACCTTGACATTTCGCTCACTTAAACACAATGCTACGTGCAACGTTTCACGGGAAGGTGCAACTTGATTAGACCAACTCCGCAATAAAATAGCAACTTCAAAAACCCTATAGTTTCGGCGAACTCAATTTGGGTGTGCCAACAGCCTGCGGTAGAGATAAGTCACGAAATCACAATTTAGCATAATTCGACGTTTTTCGATGTTCGTTAAGAATGGGATTTCATCCATAGAATATACAATGCAAATTTCACCCGGATAATTCTGCCGGCGACGTTTTTTGTTTTGCATTCCTCAGATTTAACAAATGTGGCGAGTTTGTTCAGCGAACGTCGACTCAACGCACTTTGTTACAGAGCTCGACTCCTACTGGGTATAACAGTGTTAGAAACCGCCTGAATTGTGTATTAGCGATGTGATGGCCATCACCGCGGATGATCATGATTTCCAGAGATACATGTGAATAGCGCACGGTCACGATGTAACTGCAGGCCTATTATCAACAGAATGATATCATTTTTGTTAGGATTATGATGCTTATAGGTGGAATACGTCAAATTGCAATCCAGCGGCCTACGTCCGCCCTTCATAATAAAAATCGTACTCGTTGTCACTCACCTCGACCACTTATCGTATCTTTTAGGCTGATGTGTATCTGCGACGCTGGTCCCAAAATGCCATGACAACTTGGGCAATCCTAACTACCATGGCAAACCCGACTAGACCCCGTGATGTTCGTGTACGGGGCTGCCAACGAACCTATGTAGGATGTCGCAGTGGGGGTACCGCGACTCCATACCTAATCTGATGGATTGTCCGTTATTCATATCCCCATTATTTCCAGACCGCGAGTTACGCGCGTCCACAAGACCGTATCAACCCGTTGAATCTGTGCTAGGACTTAGAAGCATTGACCACCCTATTGTGCTCTCCGTTATTACTGCCCAATAAACCCGCTAGTTCTTTCAGTGGCACTATTAGAGAGTCGGTATAACAGTGAGGATGAAAAATTTGCCACTCGCTTGATGTATTGTGCGCTGAGCACCACTGGAAAACCTACTATCTGTAACGAACCCATTGGCTTTTTTGTCGGGACGCTTGCCGCAACCATAAGAATTTTTTCCTTTACAGGTCGGTCGCGAATCGCAGCTTCATTTTGACTTCGCGCCCACATTAAGGGCGTCATCATTGTTCATGCAGTTTGAGACAATTTCCAACCTTTCCACCGTCCGTTGGGAGACATCATGCGAGCCAGTGGCTGATATTGAAATGTGAATCCCTCGCCCAAGGTGACCTCCAGTACTATTAAACAAATTCCACAGATCCGCGGCCGCATGGGGCAATAGCAAGCTTTCAGAAAAATGCCATGAAATGCTACAACATTATGTTGAAGTTTCGCTCCTCCTAACTATGGTTTCAGAGAAATTTCGGGTGTGCGTCTAAGGCTCGGTGTTTGTCTCGTAATCGCATGCTAATCGGTGGTGGTCTGTGACCTTAAACGTTTGTGCACTCAAACGAAATGCTGTGAAATAAACATCACTGAAACGTGGAACCTGATTAGACCAACTCCCCGTGGAAGCCTCCAACCCGAAGGCCCCCTAGTATCCATGACATTATTATTGGTTTACGTCTAATGGGTGGCCTGTTGAGCCACCTCTGACTAATTTCTAAAGTAGTCAGCTCAACAGTTTGGTCGCTCCAGTTTTCCGAAGATGAGCAGGGATTTTAAGCCGCTGATTTTTTCGCTTGCCGGGAGCTTAGAACCATTGCACCTATCTGCAGGAAATGTTTACGCACATTACCAGAATTTTTCTCCCTCGGCATCTCCTCAGCTTCTTGGACTCATTAGACTTCTTTTCAAATGACATTTGGCGGTTCGGTTTGCAGTGTTTTGCTCACGAGCTTCGAACAACTTAAGAAGCTTCCTCGAGGTCCAGCGCTTGGGGTTAGCTGGCTGAGTTGTCTCGCAAAAGAAGCACGTGGAATTTGTCGGGATTGCGGACATTACCTTCAAATAAGAATCAGTATCATCAGGCACACCGTCCGATAAGATTTCGGTAGACGATTCTGGTAAACCAGTTTCGCATCAGGATTTGGGAGCTTCTCCATAGCCAGGCTTATTACGCTCAGCTTGCAAGTCTGTTGGTTGTCACGATAAAAAACAACGAGCAGGCGCGCGATCCCATTCCACACAGGTGTTTCAAAACGACGGCAATGCGTTATTGGCTCACGTCAACTATTACCAATGGCGTGGCGGTCCATCTCTATTGGAATTTGATTTGCATGCGGAGACATACGTTGCCGAGTTGCCCTGATCGTTTCTAAAGCTAGCGTTATTCAGAAACCATCGGTAGTTTTTATGCGTCTTGATTCTCGCCATACATGACCACAAGATCTCATTTTAGAGGCGATAAGTCCACCTGAGTGCGGATTCGCCTCCTGGGCCCCCACTACAATGTATGAGCACTTTCCCCGCAGCAACGAGGCATCAAAAGTATCTAGAGGACTGTCTACTGCGAAGTGGGCAGTGGAGAAGAACAACAGAAATTATCGGTCGGTTTAACTGAATGTTCGCTCTGGCGTTTTCGAAAAGCCACACAGAGTTTACTACCATTCTTTACGAGATTTTTCAGCTTAGTGGCGGCTGTAAAACACTTAAAAGTGCGCAACTTGTGGCTTGAGTTGAAATATCCATGTACGCTCATACCTAGACAAAAAATCCATTAGGATTTTAAAACAGGGTTTCTGCGTCAAAACCCTAACCGCAGAGCGGCGTTGGTTTGCTTAAGACAGTCAAAGAGGCCAACGTTTTCAAGGTAAATCTCCACACTTGCTTCAACCCCCAACCTAGAAGTGCCAAAACCGTCACACAACTGTAGGGGTCCCATCCTCTTGGTGACGGGACCCAACCTCTTCCGTACGGCTTAGCAGAGCTAAAGTTATAATCCAGTTTTTGTTGCATCAACTTGGATGAAATAAACATCACAACAGTATTTTTAATTCCGACGAGTAAGCCAAATTCCGGGTGATCAGAGCAGAC